AAAAAAAACATCGAATTTAGTTAGGTGGTTATCGAGATATCTTCGTTCAAAGTTTTGGTGCAGCTTTTATTTTGACAAGGTGAAATCCGCGCTGCGTGGATTTTACTAACTGGCAGCGCGGGTTTCACCCTGTCATATTATAATTTTGATAATTATATGCAATTCATTACATTCTAGGTTCTAATTCTTATAAGTATAACGCCTTAACAGTCCAACATGGTGCTGAAATCTGTATAATAATGTATTAATAAATTTAGCTTTATTACAATCAATAAAAAGAGGAAAAATACTTACATCCCATAGCCATCTTAAAGGTTTATAGCCATTGTTGTTTTCAACAACTTGTAACTGAACATAAGCCAATAATTTTCGAATATGTGCATACCATCATCCATGTAGAAATGTAAGTGAAAAGGATATATTGGTAAATTTAGTTTGAAACGGGTAAAATATGATAAGTGATAATGAAAACATAAGATCCGCGATAAATATTTAAGGAATAACAGCAACTGTTTTGGCCAAGAAATATGAAATTGCACTCATTCAAGCCGAGGCATCACGCCAATAAACAATTAATTTCGTAGCCAAATGTGGAACACCCAGCTGCAAATGATTTATAAAAAAAAAACCATTATATGCATTCCAGATCATGTAGATTTTTAATCAGAAAAAAAAATAAATTATACCGCTAATGTAACACCAAGTGACACGAATATTCCAACGTTCTAAACAAAAAAAGAAAAAATAAGTTATAAACAAATTTTTCAATTGATACAACAATTGATTTAAGAACTTTGCATACTTGGATAAAATCATGAGAGTCAGTACAAGAATTCATCATAATATGTGGAGTAAATTTACAGACTTGTATTGGTGGTTTCCAATATATTCGGAATTAGAAATTGCCAATGAAAAAAAAATTCCACAGAAGAGATGAAGTAGTTGATCAAATAAAAATTGCAATGATCTTCTATAAATCTGAGTGAAGGCCCGATTGAGTAATAAATAAAATGTATAAATCATATTCGGGGTATCGTGATCATTTCTACAAGACAATGATAGAAGAGACTTTTTAAAGAATAAAAAAAGTTCTAAATTCACATCAATGATATATGCGCGACAATCCTTCAACGCATAAATGAATTTATCTCGTCTTGTGGGTTCATTCCGCAAAATTTCAGAATCACCTCTAGATGCTTTCATCATTATATATTCTGCAGGACTGCAACCTCTTGAATTTTGATCAAAATCATTTATTATTGAATTTGTATCTCCAAGAATTTCCAATTTTCCTTTCTTGTTTAAGACTAACACATTTTAAAGATTCTATCGGATAGTTAATGAGTGATTGTCACTACTGTTATATTTTGATCTTTAGCAATGCTTTTTAACATTGAGCATCCTTCAGCAATTAGTGAATCTGTGCCATGTGACAATCGTCAGATGATTTTCTAAGTGTGATGTTCACGGGTGATTTGATGTAGTGTAACAGTAATGCATAAATATATATTATATATATATACTGTATAACGATAACGATAATATAACACGAATTAATTTTCACTTAAAAATTTTTATTTTCGGTTCAAATAAAATGAACTTAAATGTAGATATTACAATCAACCAAGATACGTAGAAATAATCCTATTATAATTTATTAATATAGTTCAATTCAAATTAAATTTTTATAATTTATTAGCATAGTTTAATTCAAATTAAATTTTTTATTAATAAAGATAAAATTGTAAAAAGGTTAGAAAATAAAAGTTGAAAATACATACTGTTTACCAGAATACGTTATAGACTTAAAAGCTAAGACAGTTCTTTTTTGGTGGTCATAAATCCAAGTTAGTATGTAGTAAGCATATTAATTATTATTACTAAATTGTGGCACACTACAGAACGGATCTATCGAAGCATAAGTTGTACGTATAGAACCTTTTTGAATAATTCAAAGTATGAATTTGCTTTAATCTGATCAGATGAGAGAGGTTCAGATATTGGTATACTTTTATCTCTATAAATTCAAATTAAAAGTTTGACAAAATATAGTTCAACTTTAAATACAGTCACTAGTGAATATATGTGATAAGATCATTTGTTCTTGTAATGTCATACTGCTACAAAACTTAAACTCAGTCAAAGACTCAGGCTAGTAATCTTTAACTGCTGTTGAAAAAAAAAGATAAATCAATATTAGATATACACTTTATATTACTGTTAATTATCCATATATCGATATATACCTACAATAAAATGACTAGATTGATCATTTTATTTATTAGTGAAATATTGGAAATTTATTTCAATTAATTAAAGACTTTATTAAAGAGTTGATTCTATTATTTCGCTTTACTAATTCAGCCCAGTAATTTATTATAGACGTATATATACCGAATTGAAAGTTCTCATTGAATACATTTCTTAATTTTTGAACGAATAGCCTCTTTTATAATTTATACTCTTCAAATAAAACTTCTCTGAACGTAAGCTTTAGCTATTTCACATATACCAAATACAACTAATATTTTCTTAAAAGCCTACTTCTATATTGAATCAAGACTTTAACTCTTAATTTAAATATTCCAGTCCGTAAATAAATAACTGGCCTGATATATAAGCGAGACATTTTGAACCCTATAAGAATACCTAGAGCAATCAAGCTCTATAAAATGAAAAAAGTGGTTTTCTTTAATTGCTTAAT